TTTTTTGGTACTGAGGATTGAATTTAGGAGCACTCAACCACTGAGCCACACCCCTAGCCCTATTTTGTATTTTATTTAGAGACAGGGTCTCACTGAGTTGCTTAGCACCTCACTGTTGCTGAGGCTGGCTTTGAACTTGTGATCCTCCTGTCTCAGCCTCTGGAGCCACTGAGATTACAGGTATATACCACCACACCCAGCCTGAGACCCTGTCTCTAAATAAAATATAAAAAAGGGCTGGGGATATGGCTCAGTGGTAAAGCACTCCTGAGTTCAATCTCCAGTATCCAAAAAAAAAAAAAATTATTTTGAGACAGGGTCTTGCTAAATTGCCTAGGTTGGCCTTGATCTCACAATCCTCTGGTCTCAGCCTCCTGCGTCTCAGGATTATCTTCTTAATATAATCCAAGATGCCAGGACCCTGCTACAGCTTCTGGAAAACTCTTTTAAAAACATGTCATTTTATGAATCCTCTTTTTATTGGCTATAGAGGCTATTTCTAGATTTTTTGCTATTTTAAACAACACTGTAGCGAACATCCTAGTAGGAGAAACCTTTGAGAGAGCAACTAACTTTGCGATCATTCATTTACATGTCTATCCTTCCTAGGCAGGTTCATTTTTATGAACTTCAGGTCTCGCTTACCCTGGTTCACAGCAGGCGTCCCATAATTATTGGATTGAATTGCTCCTCAGGAGCTTATGCTCCTGGCAGATTAGGAAGAAGCCCACTTCTCTTTCTTAAGCATGTGGGCGTCCCCACTGCCTCTTTGCTGGGCCCACCATTCTTTCCCTTAAAAAAACATTCCCAGTCTAGAGCCGCTGTCATCCGGGTTTCTCAGTGAGCCACTCTTCTTTTCATCTCTTATCTTCCTGGGCAAACCAAACCTTGCTTCCCCTGCTGGGACCCTCCCCCTCCGGACCCCACAGAGCCCCATGCAGCAGCCCCCTCTCCAGCTGCCATTTCTGACAGCACAGACCTCTTGGTCCTTGGAGGTTCCCCATGGCACCCCCAGCGCTGCCTCTGTCTGGGGCCACCTCCCATGGCATCCAGGCGCCTTTGTCCTTCCTCCTGGGGACTCTAGGCAGATGCTGTTATTCTTACTAGTACACATGAGTAGAATCACAGATTTTGGAGCTTGAGATCTTACTCCCAGTCTTTAAAAGGGGGCAGGGGGTGGCAAGAAGAAAAATCGAGAGGTAAAACTTACTAATTTAATTTCCTCTCCTCAAGTATGCATGCTCCCAACCTCCTGGAATTCTCTCTTCTTCCCCCTCTCCTTTCCTTCTCCTTTCTGTCTCTCAGCTCTGACCCACACTCTCCCACCCTCCTGTCCTCCTCTCCTCTCCCCTTCTTTTTTAAGTTTTTTTTTTTTTTCTTTTAACTTTCAAGGTCATTCCGGACTCTGCCGCCGCCAGTCCCTTGGTGAGACGTGAGCGCCATTGGCGTCCGTGGCCTCTGTTTCCGTGGCAACCCAGTAACCATTAATTTTCAATTAAAGGAGACAAAAAGCTCGATGACAGCTCCAGGTCTGCTGAAGATGTCAAGAATCTGTATTAATATACAGCAAGAGAGCATAATTGTGTGTCCATCTTCCAGAGCAGCGAAAAATGGAGGGATAATTACCGGCTCGAAAGCCACTCTGTAATTTAGTTCTTACTGTCACCACAGCCCTACACATTAGCATAAATTAAAAGCAGAGTTTATTGTTATCAAAGTGCATTGATATCGCCAGACCCGCTTTCTTCCTTTTAACTGTTTGTTGTGGGTGAGTGACTCCCCAACTCCTGCCGAGGTCTCCCTGGATAGGGAGAATGGAAGTACCGGGGTGCTAGACCTGCAAGGTCACGGCCACTTCTGCCATCCTTGGGGCCTCAGGGCATAAGGAGACAAGGGTCAAGATGTTGCCTGTCTGATGGGGGCTGGGGATGGTGGGGGAGCTTGGATGTGAATTCACCTTTCACATGGGAAGTGCTTTGTTTGGCTTAAGAATTTTCCAGCTCTTTCCAGAGGGGACCACTGCCCCGTGTCAGATCCTGCTGCCCCATCTTGGGTATAGTGGAGGGCAGGCAATAGATGCTCAGCGCCAACCTGTTAGACAAAGGAATGAGCAAGGGCTAAGGGGTTTCCTCTCCTGGGCTGCATGCAGGAGGATGGACCTTCTTACTTTCCCAATTAGGGGCATGGCCAGCTCAGGTGGAGGGAGGTACCCCGAGAGGAGCTCAGTTCCTGCTCCAGCGCCTGGGATCCATGCTCCTCAGAACCTGGGTCTGCTGGGCCACCCACTCCTGTGGCCGGGGTCCTGCCATGGCTACCACCCTGCAGCCTCACTTCAAGTAGTCGGAGCGCCTTGAAGTGTCTCTCGCGTGCCAGTGACAGCCACAGAAATCATGAATTTCCGTGAATGGGGATGCGGGGTTTTCTTGTATTCTATCCAGAGAGAGCTGTCCTTCAGAGGGGAATTTAGTGTAATTACCCTTAAGGGAGCGATCCTTACACAGTCAGTCACAACACTGACCTCCTGGCTGAGATTTGACAGCAAAATTACAGGCTGTGTGCTCAACAGAAGGGGCATCCTCCTTTATTTTGGGAGGGGGGAGGCGGGAAGGAAGGGGGAGGAGGGAAAGGCGATACAGAAGCTTTGAAAAGAAAAGGGCTGGCTTACAGCTGCCAAGCACATGGGTTCTCCTTGGCACAGTGTCCCGGGGCAGGGGGAAGCTACCCAGAGATCCCCTGGCACTTCAGCGGGTTGGTGAGGAGTGGCCAAGGTGGCTCTCCAGCCCTTTAAATCTTGGAGCCATGACTTGTGATCTTTGCTAAAGTCAATCTTATTCTAGATAGGGTTGGAGGGTACTAGGAACTATTTGATAAACTCCTCGGGCATGTTTTCCCAAACACATCTGTCCCTTGGCCCTTCCCACAGTGCTGGAAATTCTCATCACTCTTTGTACCTTTGAGTGAACATCTGAGACCCTGTTAACCTGCACCTAGGTACCTGGCAGGGCTCACATGCTAATCTGTGACCATTCCAAATATAGCCCAGACTTATCTTTCAGACGTACTGGCCTGTCACACAGCAGGACACTAAGGACACAGGCCAGGTGAATTTTACCTGAACTAATGGAGAAAATATCCATGGACTTTGAAGCCCAGGAAGGAGTGATGGTATACCCTAAATCTCAGAGCTTGAAGGGGCTCTGGAAATGGGGGTGTCCTGATGGCTCCCAGAACAGGTCACCCCAACCTCTGCTCCACCTCCACCCAACACAGGAGCTCAGCACCCCGAAAGAGGACCATCCAGCCACGTGACATGGGAGGCCAAGGCAGGAGGATCACAAGTTCTAGGCTAGCCTGGGCAATGTAGCAATTTACCCTGTCTCAAAAATTTTTTTTTTCTTGAAAGGACTAGGGATGTAGCTCAATGGTACATCTGAGAGCACCTCTGGTTTCAATCTCCAATACCAAAGGGAAAAAAATAAAAAGAGAGGTCCATTCCACTGTTAAATACCGATCACAGGAAATTTCTCCTGGACTTTTTTTTTTTGCAAAATCCTGTTTCCCTAAAATTCTTACCTTCCTTGTGGAGACTCAGGAATGAATGTGAGATGGTTCTTCAGCTGCCTGAAGACAGCTCAACTGTCCTGCATCTTCCCCTCTAATTCTAGGACCTGGTTATCCATCCAGCTTCACCGCCCAAGGAAGAACCAAAAAGGGTCCTAGAAGGATGAGGGAGGGCTCCTGGTCAGGCACAGCACTTACTGAGCATCCAGCATACCCCCTTTCATCCGTCTCAACCACCTGGGAAGAGGAGGATGGGTTAATCTTACTTAGTGGAGAGGAAAGAAAAACCAGGCAGAGCCATGGTGGAAGCTCAGATTCCTGACCCAGGCAGAGGACTTTCCTTGGGAATCCAGGTGCCTTTGCTCTTAGACCCGTGGGGCACCGTTGCATTTGTGAAATGAACTTGGTCCTCAGTCTCCTCTCTCCTCATCTCCAAAGCTTCCTTCTTTTTTGCTACTCAATGGGAAAGGAATTCCAGGAAAAACCTTGTATAAGTCCTGCTCCTCCCCATGGTTCCCCTGCCCATTACAGCCCTCCGGGGCTGCTTCAGGGACAACCACAGCACTAGTGGTTACTTACTGACCGCAGGACCCTGCTCCAGGGCTGTGTACCTGCTTGCTGTTTGGTGTTTGATCCAGTCCTCCAGGCTTTGCCCTGGCTGCAGTTCTACCCAGGCCCCTCTTCCTCATACATCCACATCTCTTTCAAATACCACCTTCTCAGGGAAGCCACCCCAGTCCTCCTTCCGAAGCCTCACGCCCTGCCCAGATTCCTTCCATGGGTCAGGTTGACCACAGTGAGAAGTTTCTTTCTGTTAGGTTCGTTGTCTGTCTCCCTTTAAGTCTCCAAAGGGCAGAGACTGCTTTGTTTGTGGTTGAATCCCAGGCGCCTAGAACAGTCCTGGGCCTTAAGTAGGTGCCCAGTCCACATTTGTCAGTTGGAAGGAGAAACCTGAAGCCCTGTGAGGTGAGTGGTATTTTCACAACAGAGAAGAACTGGAGCTCTAGCCCTGGGTTAGATGGCTCCTCCAAGGTCACAGAGCTCTCAATACCTAAATGCAAACCATGGTGCATTTTGGGTTGCTGAGAATGAGCCTGTTTTTTTTTTTTTGGTGGGGGGACCCAGGCCTGTTCTGAACTTTCAATATGTGGGAGAAGGGGACTGGCTTCCTGTGGGATTTCTGCCTGCATTCTGACCAGCAGGTCCTCTTCCCTCCTGTACAGGGTGAGAAGGGCTCCTTCCCTTCTGCAGCTCCCCCTTTCCTGCCCCCAAGTCCAAGGGGGACCCACAGGTGCAGTCTAGCTCCTCCCTCCCCTGAGGACCCAGGTCCCTGCCTGGGCTGAAGTCCATACCCAGGAGTCTGGGGCACCCCTGGGAGGCCCCTGCCCTGGGCTCTGAGTGGCTCCCCTCCCCACAGATGTAAATCCGGGCCCCAGAGTGGCCACACAGAACATACATCTTAAACAAACACTTCTCCTTGCTGTTTATCTCCCTGGCCTTTAAACAAACTCTTTCAAAGGTTTCTGCTGATAGGAGAGATTTACTGAAAACCATTCCTTACTTAAAAGCCCTGGGTTTATGCTGCTGGGGAGGGGGCAGCGGGGCCTTCGGGCCTGGGGTTTCTCTGCCTCCGGACCACATGTTTATCCTCTGGGCCTTGATAGAGGAGCAGCTCAGACTAATCTTTATGGAAAAGAAAATAATAAAAGCAGGAAAGGGGAGGGGTAGAAGTTGGGGGAGGTTTGGTTCTTGTCACTGACTCCAGGAGGCCCTGGCAGGCCTGGGTGTGGCAGCGCCCACCCTCAGTGGCAGGGAGGGGTGGGGCCCCTGTGGACTTTGGACAGAAGGCCCTTGGGCAGGTGACTGTTCTTGGGCTTCCACCCCCCCTGGCTGAGGCCAGAGTGGGCCTCTCCCAGCCGCACGGGGTGGGGCTGTGGGGGGGTGGGGAGCAGTCACATGATAATGTCTACATCTCTATTCCTCCCTTCGGCCACCATTCAGGAAGCATCTAGTGTGTGCCAGCACCTGGGGGTACAGAGATGAGTAATTGTTAACATTTATTTCAGCATTTCTGTGGCCTTGTGTGCAATCACTTACACGAATTAACACATTAAATACAATGGGCCCCCAGAAGGACAACCTGTAATTATCGATGCATTTGGGGAAACCAAGGCACAGGGAGATACCTGGGCCATACCCGAGAAATTTGGGCTTCATTGAGAAGCAGCCTGGACATGGGATTCTAAAATGCATCCGAATGTGGTCTCGCTGCTGTGGAGAGGTGTCTTTCTGTCCCCGTCTTCCCAGTGACCTGGTAGTCCACCAAGACCAAGGAGTCTCCCAGCCCATGGAGAGCATTAGTTCTTTCTTAGTGGAATGTAAAATAATGGTGCCTCTTAAAATGTCAGGTTCAATGAAATCAGTGACAGGGAACTAACCCCCACCAGCTGTGGGCCTGAGTTGCATGATTTTGCATATATTATCTCAGTTAACCTACCTCCCGAAACTTCAAGATCAGTCAAGGAGCACCTCCCATGAGAATGGAAGGCACCAGCCAGGTGCAGTGGCCCTCGCTTGTAATCTCAGTGGCTCCGGAGGCTGAGGCAGGAGGATCAAAAGTTCGAAGCCAGCCTAAGAAATTTAGTGAGGCCCTAGCAACTCACTGAGACCCTGTCTCTAAATAAAATTTAAAGAGGGCTGAGGATGTAGCTCAGTGGTTAAGCGCCCCTGGGTTCAATCCCTGGTACCAAAAATAAATAAGTAACTAAATAAATGTAAGGCACCAAGACCTCTGGAACTTGCCCAAAACCTAGTGGGAGGTGGAGGCAAGATTTGAACCCACAGTAAATGGCCTGATACTTCTTCCTGACCCTTGAGGCACTTTATATTTCTCAGACTCTCTTCACATCTTTTGTCCACTGAAGAAGACCCTGGAATGGCAAATGGTGAAGTGACCTGTTCTAAGCCCACACCTGCCTTCTCAGCCTGTGCAATGGGAGTTTTGTCTGTTTGTTTGAAACCTGCATGGGCTTCTGTAGGTGGAAGCTGTCCCCAGGGGAGCACAGGACCAGGGAGGGGATACAGGACAGTGTGGGGCTGTCCTGGGGTCTTAGATGCTGAAGCTGGAGCTGTGGCCTGTCCTCGGAGCTTCCAAGGTCAGAGGCA